ATGGCACTTCTCAACTGAACTCATCAGTTTATCCTCTTGTGTTCTCGAGTTTCTCCCCATTCCAGCTTTTCCTCTTGTGTCCTCCATGTTGAGCATGCATATTAGTCAGCTTTGCATCACTATAACAAAATACCTGAGGAAACTAACTTTATAAACAGAAAATGTTTATTTAGCTCACAGTTTTAGAGGTTCAAACCCCAAATCAGGCAGCCCTGTTAATTTGGCCTCTGGCAAGAGGGGCACATCACAGTGCTATCAACTTCCCCTTTGATGGCAGTGGCAACTCCTATGTCACTGCTCCCACCTGGCAGTGACACTTACAAGAAGTCCAAGGGTCTTTTTATAAACAAAGATGAGATCATGTCGCTCTGTTTAAAGTTTCCCTCATGGGAAAGCCAAACTCCATGGCAGGAGTGCAGGACCCTTGTATTCTGCTCCTGACTTCGTCAGTGTCAGCACCTGCTGTTCCCATCATTGCATCCGTCCCTCCAAACTCTGCTGCTCTCTGTTCCTGCAGCATGTGCTGCTCTCTCTCCCCTTCCAGCCTTGGAACTCACAACATCCCTATACTGGGTCTTTCCCCTTTCACACAGGAATCCATCATTAGTCCTCGGCTAACATGTCACTTCTTCTGGTTGCTTTCCCTGACCTTGTGAATAAGGATGGCCTGCCCCAGATTTCCTCCGCGGAGTCCCGAGCTCCTCTGTTGCAGTTGTTTCCTTATCTACATCTCCCTCTGGAAGCAGTCCCCCGAGGACAGGGACTGCTCACGATTACTCCTAGAACAGCATATTACACATAGAAGCCCTCCAAAAAGCATACATGAAATTTTGTCATTAGCATATTGATGCAACAAATTGCATAAATAGAGTTCCTGATATTAAACAACTCCACATTCATAGAATAAGCCCTATTTCACCATGGTGGAATTCTCTCCTTGTGCATCATTCAATTAAACTCTTAATGCCTTAGGGGTTTTGTATCTATTTTTAGAAGCGAGACAGGTGTGCGGTTGATGTGGGCATACTACCAATGGCAGCTTTTGGGTGCTTGGGTCACATTGATTACCAAAAAAGTTGAACCCAGTCGATTTCGGAATATTATGTATGTTTATATGGTATTGTATTATCCTCACTGAATAATTTCTTGCATTAAATAAGACTGCGTTGGCAAAAAGAAATGAGCTGACTCTATATAGGGATGACTTTAAGATAACTTCTCAAATGGTAAAGAATTTAAGTTCCCTTCATGGTTGTGGTATTTAGGGTGTGTTCTTTATTTTCTAGAGTCAAATTTGAAATACTCACATCTCCCCCCCAGGAAATCCTCAGTTTTCCCTGGATTTCCAAGTCCCTGACACAGAGATCCTGGAATCCAGTGAGGAATAAACCCTACATAATTTCCAAGTCTTTCCTTTTAACCAATATGGGAGCAATCAAGTGGGAATATAAGCTACCACTTGAGACCAAGCCCAATCCACAGGACGGCTTTTCTCCCCTTCCTTCCCCAGGATGCACAAGCACAAGTGTCATGACCTTGGAGAAAATTCAAGTCCTTCGCTATTTTCAAAATTATCTTACAATTGCTTATCTAGAGAGGGTCAGATCATCTCTTTTTGAGAGCAGTCCTATTCATCTGCAAGCAATTATTCAGTAAGGTAATACAACACCGTGTAAATACAAATTCTGAAATTTGCCCAATTCATTTTTTGGTACCCAATATTGCTCCTATATCCACAGCTGTCAAAAGTCGCATGTCAAGGCCAAGTAAAGACCTGTTTTCCTTTCTCCAGAAGCTTCTGAATGGAGATTTAAATATGCCCTTCCCTTATGCCAAAGACCTGAAAATTCCTAAGACACCAGCTAGGAACAGAAGAGCTGGAATGGACCCAGTCTGGAGAGGGAGATAAGTGGGGAGAGTAGAAAAGAGAGAGCATGCTGATTCCACTGGAGGTAGGGTGAGACTCCAAGGGAGAGTCCAAAGATGTCTGTATGGCTGGACATGAGAATCTTCCAACAGCCTCCTAGTGAGGCTGACGGCCCTGAGTGCTCTCTCTTCTTCCAGATGAAGTATTTTGTGGGTTACGGTCATCCCAGGTTACCAGTTTCCCCTGGTATGCACAGAGATTGGTTTCAGGATCCCCAAGGACACCAAAATCCACAAATGCTCAAGTTCCTTATATAAAATGGTAGAGTATTTGCATATAACCCACACACCTGTGCACTTTAAATCATTTCTAGATTACTTATAATATCTAATACAATGCAACTGCCATGTAAAAAGTTGTTATATTGTATTGATCTGGGGGATAATGACAAGGACAAAATGTCTGACATGTTCAGTATGGATCCAACTTTTTTTTTAAGAGAGAGAGAGAGAGAGAGAGAGAGAGAGAGAATTTTTTTTTATATTTATTTTTTAGTTTTCAGCAGGCACAACATCTTTATTTGTATGTGGTGCTGAGGATCGAAACCAGCGCTGCGCGCATGCCAGGCAAGCATGCTACCACTTGAGCCACATCCCCAGCCCCTGGATCCAACTTTTAAAAAATATTTTTGATTGGAAGGTTGGTTGAATCTGTGGATGACAAACCCACAGATATGGGAGGCCGACTGTGCACATGTCCCTTCTGATCTTTTAGTTTGCATCTCTTCTCTTCTTTTTTTAAATCTAGATTAAATATGCCAGAGGTTAATTTTTGCCCAAATTCTCTCCTTGATTGACTCTCTTATTTCTATCTTCTAATTTGTTGATTTCTGCATTTTTCTGAACTATTTTCTTATTTTTGTTTTCCTAAGATTTTTGGTTTTGTTGTTGTTGAAATTTGTTCTAATTTGAGTTAAATGCAGGGCTAACTTGTTTTCATTCTCTCATGTGTGACTTTAGAAAACACCTATGAATTTGCCTCTGAATACAGCTTTAGACACCTCCCTTTTGATATGTAGTAGTCTTGTTTTTGTTTTTGTTTTAGTTTTCTAAATTGCAAGCAACTGCAGTTCTAAAATTCTCCCTTCTAGTAAGTTTAAAAAAAAATTTCCAACTGGATTATATTGTTTAGGTTTATAAATTGTCCCCTATCTCCCCACGTCAGAAGCATTTAGTCAAACCTAAACAGTTTTGCTGTAGAAAAATCACTTCTACAATTTTCTTTAGGACCTAAAATACTTCTGTGATTTTTAAATATTCTAGGATTCCACAAAAGGAAGACATATCTTTCTGTAGGGCAAGGGAAAAGATGAACTAACTGCTAATTTTGCTTTATTCACAATATTGCTCTGCCTTTTAACAAGTCATCTGTTAAGGAACCTGATGGGCATTAAGCACTCCCACAGTTAGGTTTCCAACAATGTCTTCTTTGTTATAAAGATTTGCTTTGGAATATTTTATGTTCTCTTGGAGTGCATATAGATCCATAACTAGTATCCTTCCTGTGGCTGCCTTCAGATCCTTTAAAGTGACAAATTTTAATGATGGTGGAATGAGTTGGACACCATTCCCTAAGTACATGTATGAAGACACGAATGGTGTGAAAATACTCTGTGTACAATCAGTGACTTGAAAAATTGTGCTCTATATGTATAATATGAAATAAATTGCATTCTGCCATCATGTATAACAAATTAGAATAAATAAATAATTTACTTTTTTAAAAAAGTGACAAAAGTTTGAGGATGAAAGAAGAGTAGGCTTGAGGTTGACTTTTTCTGGGATACAGTCTGCCCCACGAGCCCTTCATTGCCCTATGTGCCATGTAAGTTGTGTGAAGTTTCGTTTTATTTTGGGGGTTGAAGTTCTCTGTCTTTGAGCAGAAGTGTTAACCCTTTTTATATTCCAAGCCTAGTGCACTTGATCTAATATTACAAGTGACTTTTCCACACACTGAATCAGACCACAAACTCTAGAATTTGGCTACCTGAGTGTCTGAAGAGCTGGATGGCCCTTGCCACTCACCTGGGTGTGCAGCTGACTCGCACTAAGCCCCAGTGTCCTTATCTATAAATGGGGACTGACATAGTGTGCACCTCCTTACTTGTTAACACATGCAAAGTGCATTCCACATTGGCTGAGCCACAGGGTACTCCCCTTCCTCATCATCTTCTCTGCATAGCATTCTCTTGACTTTCTGTTTCAGGTCACTGTCCCTCAGGGACCCATGCATGCTGCCAGGAAAGAGGCTTCCAAGTTCAATAACAAGAGGAGGTAGGTAGGTCAAGAGGGCTCAGCATAAGATACAAGGCATAAGGAGAGGACAGCACAGATTTTAGACACAGTCAGGAGTCAAAAGTAGGAGGTGTAAGAACCATGATTTCTGATGCTTTGACATCTGAGGCACTGCTAACCCTGAAGGGACTGTTCCTTCCAGGACTGCCAATTCCTAGAGGCATCTTTCATGTGAAAACCAACTGATCCAGAGCCCATATCTCTGACCACCTCCTTTATCAGACTGTACACTCAGGGTTACCATCCACCTGTCCTGAGCACCCCAGGGTCAGGTATCAGACAACTTGGTACAGCTCTTATGTTCCAGAATCTTCTATAATTCTTCAAACTGGCCACTCTTAAGCCTGCTTACTCTACCTGCCTTGGTCTTTCCTGCAGAGACCAGAACAGAAGCCCTTGCCAGTTTTTCCTCGACTCCCTCTGCCCTGTGGCCCACCTGGTGCTTTCCAAGGTGGCCAGCCAGGGTTCAGCGTGCATCTACCTCTTAAGGTCTGTAACAACTATCTTTTCAATGGGAGGAGGAGTCTCCTGATCTGTTGGCCTCACCATTGCTGAATGATAACAAAATCTACATTTTAAAACCCGGAGTCAAGGAATCAGGGATGAAATGGCTCACAAATTTCTCGTTACTTATAGAACCACAGGGTGTCTGGGAGAGACAGGGCAGTTTGAGAAAACACTCTCAAAGGAGGGCCATGCCTCACTCTCCAGCCCCATTCACTCCAAGAGAGCAGAGACTGTGCCTGGTAGGCAGGACCCGGTTCACAGTAGTCACTCACCTTCCCATAGCTCAGCAGAATAATCCGTACCAGGACAACATTGATGTGGGCCCCCAAGGACTCGTCATGATAGATTTCGTTGACCTGAAAGACAACCAGGGAGGCATCAGCAGGAACCCCGTGCCCAAAGACCAGCTCTGGTTTTTGCAAATGGCATCTTAGGTCAATCAGCCCCCAGGTGAGAACCCAGGGTACCCTGCCCCATTCATTCTTCTTTCTGTACTTTGCACAGACATTGCCATCCAGTCTGATTTATCCCTCCACTTCCTGCCTCCTCCCACCCCATCCTTACAGTCAGCACCACCAGCCTGGATTCTGATAGCTGTCTTCTAAGAGACCCCTACCAGTTATCCCTGGGGTTTTTCACCTGGAGCTTGAACTTGGACCAGGAGACTGACTTCCATATTTGACATAGCCTCCAACCGAAACCCAGCTTTTCCTTTAAGAATGAAAATAGGCAACAAACACCAGCAGCACGAGCAGTACCTGGAGTGTCCACCACAGAAACCACTCCACAGTTGTCACTGCTGCTGATGCCATGTTACCTATGCACCTTGCTACGGTCAGCACTGCATTCCGTGTCCACAGGTTCCACATACATGCATTCACCCAACCGAGGATCAAAAATATCTGGGAAAAAAAGTTGCTCAACAGGTATAGATCCTTTGGCATTTACCTCATGTCAGGTATTATCAAGTCATCTAGAGAGGGTTTAAAGTATATGGGAGGATGGGGGGAGATTCTGCACAAGTACTGTGCCATTTTATATAAAGGACCTGAGCATCCAAGAGGGTCCAGAACCATCCCTGCAGGGACTGAAGGATGACTGTACTTGGAAATGGGGATCATTTGAGACTTACCACCAGATCTAGCTTGTTAATGAGTTGATAAATGTAGTTGTTACAATATCATAAATGTGCTTTCCTTGTTTTGAGAGGCGTGCTCACTCACTTCAGCACTATTTCATTCTCTCCTCTCTCTCTTTCTCTGGTTGGGAGGGAGCAGTCCGAGGATCAAACCCAGGGCCTTGGGCATGCTAACAGACACTCTATCACTACTCTTACGTATTTTATATTTTTGCATTTAAGAATATCATTCTGAGCAGGTGCCCATGGGCTTCTCCAGATGTAAAAAGGGTACATGGCACAAAAAAGGAAATGAGTTCCCACGCTCCACAATGCACCAGTATGACCTTTCCGAAACACAGGTCAGGTTAGCCCTGGGCCCTGGGTGCTAGAGACTTCCTTCCCACTAACACCGTCCCCACCTTCCTAGGGCACGCACTCAGGATCCTGGCTGGAACAGCCCCCTCACTGTGACTTCCTTCATTGGCTGACTAAACCCTATTCCTCCTAAGGCTAATCCAGGAGTTACTTCCTCCTGGGAGGGCCTACCCAGCTCCGACCTGCTTCACATGGAGCACTGGTGGCCCATTACTTCCTGAACCCTCTATCAGTAGACTACAGCTGTTCCAAATCCATATTTTTCCCTCCTCATGTGCCCGGGCCCCAGGACAGGATAACACAGGGCAGATACTCAAGAAATACTTGTTAAGAGAATAATAAATCCACTAGTGTCATCACGGATGCACCTCCCAAATCCAGGGCCACCTCAGGCGGGTGCTGAGCATGCTCTGCACCCCAAGTTTTAGGATGCCTGTCTGAGCGACTGTAATTCCTATCTATAAACAACAGGAAGATACCTCAGGAAATCTGAGAGTTAACAAGGAAAATCAAATTATGATGGATGGGATGGGGAGGCACACCAGGCCTATGAGACAAGAAGCCCAGTGGCTGCTGTCAGAGTTGCTGTGGATAAAAATGGCCCCAATTGGAGTGCAGAGTTAACAAGCTGGCTGGGCCCCAGCTGATGCCACCATCCAGCCCAACACCAGCCCCTCTGAGGAACTTCCTGGCGTAGACTGTCTACTTCTGGTTATAACTTGGTTCCTCCCCCTCTTTACCTTCCTTTCCTGTAGGGAAGGGGCAACTGATCAGACCTGTGGGAGTGCAGGTCAGATAAGTCACTGGGACTCAGCGACTTGACCTGAGTTCCCTGTGCCTGCCCCCTGGGCAGGAGGGATGCTGGGCCCTGAGGGACACCTACCAGATGCCCAAGGGCCTGCCTCATCACATGCAGCTGACGAGGTGGAGGCCGGGGGAGGACCTCCACGTGCCCTGGTAGGCCTTGCCTGCTCACACATCGCCTGCTGGCCTCCTCTGGGAAACCAGAATAACAGTCTTCATCTCACCAAGTTGTGGTGAGGATTCAATTTTCACCCACATACAATGGAATGATATTTGCGAAAACTGAAACTGTATTTTTCACTGCTGGTAAACCATATTGCCCTGCAGTTCCCCCAGGAGGGCCGGAGGGCAGGGTGCACACCCCCTAAAACCACAGATGACTTTGCTCAATTTTGAGGTTCTAACTAGATTTTTTTAAAGTCTAGTTTTAGCCTTAAAAGACAGTTTTTCTTAAAAGGGAGAGGAGTTTTTCTAAATTTCCAAAGTATTGCTTTATCTATGATGAGCAAAGCCTGGCCAACTGGACTCAGAGCATTCATAGTGCAGGAACCACCAAGGCCAGGGACATCTCACGGCAGCTGGAAGGGACAGGAGAGGGGAAGAGAGAAAGTGACTGGGCTTCCCTTCATTCCTTCCACTCCAGCCCTCACGGTCCCGCCTCAAGTTGGGAGTGGGGCAGGGAGAATAGAAAACAGCCTGTCAAGAAGTCAAGAAGGAAGGGAAAACAGAGAGCTTTGGAGCCCAGCTGCTGTTCGGTTTCTGAGAGGGGACAGGTATGTATCAATAGGAGGTGGCTTCCGTGAGCCCAGATGGAGGCTGGACATGTTTCAGTCATGAGCAAGAAGGAGAGGGTGACCCAGCTCCCACTGTGTGTAGCAGATGCGTGGGGTCCCCTGTTCCCCAGGAATGCCTGGGCAGGATACAGCGGGGGGTGGCTTTCTGCCTACCTGGTGCTGGGGGCCTCCACCGCCACGTTTCAGAGAGGACCCAGGTAGTGCTAGTCTACAGGGGAGGGAGGCAGACCCGCTGGTATGGCAGCTGCAGAGGACCAACCCCTTCACCCCAAGGGCAGGTCCTTAGTCTCCAGGGCCACTGTGAGGCAAGAGCATGCTGGGGCAAGCCAAGCCGTGCACACACTCCCACCCAGGGTCAGGGGACAAGGGCCCCAACCCACTCATATGTTTAAGTTCTTATCCCCAATGTGATAGATTGGGAGGTATCTGTGAGGTAATCAGAGTTAGAGTCCTCATTATGGGATTAATGCCCTGTGGGAAGAGACACAGAGAGCTTGCTTCTTCTCTGCTCCCCGATCCCCTCCACATAAGGACACAGCAGACACTGGCCATCAGCAAACCAAGAAAAGGGTCTTCCCCAGGAAACCAAATTGGCTGGCAACCTTGATCTTGGAATCCCCAGTCTCCAGAACTGTAAGACATAAACACCTGTCATTTAAGCGGCCTCGTCTGTGGTATTTGTTATACGGGCCTAAGCACACGAAGACAAGCCCTGAGCCAGAGCCTGCTATGCTTTAGATCTTAAATGTCTCCACAGGACCACATGCTAAAGGCTTGTCGCCAGCCTCTGGTGTCCTTGGGAGGTGATGGGACCTTAAGGAAGTGGGGCCTGGGGGGACAAAGTCAAGTCACTGGAGGCGTAATCTTGAAGGGCATATTGAGACTCCAGCTCCTTCCTGTGTCTGTCTGTCTGTGTCTGTCTGTCTGTGTCTGTGTCTGTCTGTCTCTCTCTCTCTCTCTCACTGCTTCCCAGCTGCCATGAGGTGAGCTGCTGTGTTCCATAAGCTCCCACGATGATGTTCTGCCCAAAGCAATGGGGGCCAAGAGGCCATGGACTGAAATCTCCGAAACTGGGAGCCAAAGTAAATCTTTCCTCCTTATAAGTTGATTATCTCAGGTAGTTTTGTCACAGCAAATGGAACGCTGACTGATACAGGGCTTAACTTTGACTTTATGACGTTCTTCCACAGGTTTTTGGTTTTTTTTTTTTTTTACTTTGTGGTACTAGGGATCGAACCCAGGGGTGCTTTGCCACTGAAGTACATCCCCACCCCTTTTTATTTTTATTTTGAGGCAGGGTCTCACTAAGTTGTTGAGGCTGGCCTCAAATTTGCAATCCTCCTCAGCCTCCCTAGTCACTGGGTGCACTACTGTGCTCATCCCTCTAAAAACTTTTAAATATTAAGGGCCTGAGCTACTTTTCATGGACCAGGAATTTTCTATCCTAGGATGGGGTGCTAGGGTTGAGGGCAATGTCAGACATTAGAATTCAAAGCTACATTTTTCCCCATGTTTGAGCCTCGGTGGGTAGGCATTGACCCTACCAAGCATATCAAGCCCCTAGGCAGAGATGACCTAAGAGAATCAGGTCCTCATTGGGACTTTTCAAATTGAGTTGACCATACCCTGGGCTTGGAATCACCCAGGCATTTCAGGCATGCCCTCTCCTTCCCCATGGCCCCAGGCAGGGACCCTGCAGAGAGCTGTTGGCCTCACCATGTATTAGCTCTCAGGATTCAGCAGAACTAGTGTGGAACTGGCCCTCAGAAGCAACTTGACCAGCTCCATGATCATGATGATGTTCATGAGGGTTTTGAAGGAAAGGTGAACTAGAGGGTTTTGAAGATTCCACAATAGTGGAGTCTTTCCAGGTGGGTGTCAGGGGTCACCTAAGAATGTGGCAGGTCATGAGAGCTAAAAGAGAGAACAAGTTAGCACAGTAAAACAGGGGTGGTCATCCTGGCAGGAACAGCATGTGCAAACATCCTGGGGTTGGAAGCAATGAGGCAGGTTCTAGGAACAGAAAAGATGGGACAGGGGCAGGTAGAAAGAAAAGGTGGGAGAAGGGCACTAAGGCCAGGCCATAGGGGTCAGGAGGATTCCAAATCTACTCAATGAGCAATCAGAGACTATGGAGCTTGGAAGGAAAGATAATAACATCACATTTTACAAAGATTACTCTGGATTCTTAATGGAAAGTAGACTGAGGGGAAGGTGTGGGAGTGTAGGATTCAGATACAGGGATGAGTAGAGAGAAGGGACA